CGTCCGGTGATGGGACCTTCCTTCTTCCAGTGTCTCAGTCCAGAACTCCTGCGGTCTTCCTTGACTCCTCTCTTTCTCTCACATCCTATACCCAGTCCGTCAGGAAATCCTGTAGGTTCCATCCAAAATTAAATCTGGAAACCAGTGATTTCTCCCCTTCTCTGCCATGACCCTGCTTTGAACCACCACCATCTTTTGCCGGGGTTACTACAATGCCCTCTTGACTTGCCCCCTAGCTTCTTTCCTTTCTTCCCTACGATCAGTCTATTTTCAACACAGCAGCCAAGTGACTTCCAGGCAAATCGCGGCACTCCTCTACATAAAGTCTGCTCATCTCACTTGGAATGAAAGCCCAAGTCTTGATGATAACAGTTTATGAGACTCTTTGTCACTTGGCTTTATTAACCTTTTGGATTTCCTCTGCTACCCTTCTCCTTTCCTTTATTTTTAGGCCACACAGGCCTTCTTGTCGACTCTCAGTCCTGCCAGGCACACTCCCCCTTACCACCTGTATTGTTACCATGGTCTGGATGCTCTTCTCACGTATCTCTGCATCAGAAACTGCATCACCTGCTTTGCCCAGATCTCATCTTCTCAGGAAGGGCTTTCATTAAAAGGGCAACCTATGTGTCCTCCCCCCACACCCATTTCCAGCCTGGGGCTTGTGATCTTCACCTCCGAAAGTACTTATTTATAATGTCCATTATTTATTATCCATCCTCCTCTCTCTCTAATAGAATGCAAACTTTATGAAGGCAGGGAATGTTGTCTTTTTGTTCATGAGTGTATCCCAAGCCCTTAGAACAGCACCTGCACCATAGCAAGTGCCCAGTAAATATTTGTGCAATGTATTAATCATCTAGAACACCTGGGCTCCCAACCCTCAGTCCAGTGCTTTTCTCATGATGTCAGGATGCCTCTTAGCATCATGAGAAGGTGGTTATTAATAAAATTAGATCCTGGCAGCTGCGTGCCATTAGTAGTGAGGATGGAGTTAGTGCAAAGTTGGAGGAGACTAAATGGAATTGAGGAAGGGAGAAAAGGACTATATGGAGATGAGGGAAGAAGGCACAGACTCACAGAATGCTCATGACTGACTTTCTGTATTTGGAAATTATTTTCAGTGATTTTGGGGGGCTATGTTGTCACGGTGGCTCCATGGACTCCCTCTCGCCTTCCCTAGGCATGCAGTGGGCACACACCATGTGCCAGGCCAGCTGTGTGCTAGGTTCTGGGGTCCATGATCCCTGCTCTTGAGGAGATTCAATACCTTGTGAGAGACTCAGAGATGATTATGAGATAGTGTGAGGAATAGTAACATAGGGAGGTGACAGACATGCCATTGGAACAGAGAGGACGTTGCAATCAACACAAAGGATTCTATTTAGAAGAAAGAGTTTGGAAAGTCTTCTGAGAAAATGGTAAACTTTGAGCTGGACTGTGAGCTAAGTTAGGTTTTGTCGGGAGAGAGAATGAGCAGCACAGGAGCAGGTCTGGGAAGCAATGAGCCATTCATTGCGCCTGACTGGAGTAGAGGTCATGGGGAGGTGAGACCAGGGACAGAGGTTGAGGTCCAGGTTTTAGAAGTCGTGGTTTGCCAGGGAGCAAATGGAAATCATCGACAATTATTACATGTGGATGTGATGTGGCCCAATTTGTGTTAAAAAAGAAAAAAATGAACAAACCCAAAATCATGGGGAAAGACGGGGTGTTGGAGACATCGTGTGCATGATTGAGAGCTGTTAAAATGCCTTTGACAAGACACTGACCTATGGCCCTGAGAATGTGGACGAGGGAACTCAAGAGATACCTCTGAAGTTGGATTGACAGGCTTTGTGATGAGCTAAATATACTGATAAAGAAGCTGTGGTGAAGGTCACCCTGCAGATTCTACCTTTTGTGAACGAGAAGACTAGGATGTGAACTGAGATGAGAAGCACATTAACAAAGATCAGTTTGGAGTAGAAGAGATAAATTTTGCTTCACATGCAGGACTGAAATGGGTTATTGTCCTGGTAGAGATAACCAGTAGGCAGCTGGAGAAAACAGCCTTACAATTCCATATGTAGATGTGGAAATAAGGACTCCAGATGTAGGAGATGGGGGCCTGGGTAGCACTGGCTTATGTTGAGAGTGGAATGAGAGAAACGAGGGTGGGGGCCTGGCATGTGGTCATGCAGGAGTTTGGTGGAAGGCGTTAATCCAAGAGAAACTGAACTAGGAGTCTGGGAGCAAAGGGAAGACTCAGGAGATTCTCTCTCTCTCATTCATTTTTCAAATGATATGTTCCCTATAATGTAAAGGATTTGGGAGTTCGACAGAGTAATGTTCTAGAATTTTGAAAAGAGAGCATGATTAACTACATCTTCCTGCAAAGAGGTCTAGTGCAGGTAATGACTGGGAAGATGTCCTTCAACAGGGGGACACATGACGGCTGCTCAAGGCATGTGAATTGGACTACTTTTTGAAGACAATTTTGGCAATATAGATCAAGAGCCTCTCCCTCTTGCCATTAATCCTCAAGTCCCAGGTACTAGATCTATTTCCCCCCTTTGACTACGTCTGCTTTTCTCCTTCACTCACCTTGGATTATTGCAACAGCCTCCCAAGTGTTCTTCTCACCCATAATCCCACCCCTCTCCTATCTGGTCTCCTTTGCGACACCAAAGAGGTCTTTCTCTAAGCAAGAAGCTAGTCACATCCTCTGTCTTCTGCCTGAAACCTTTAATGGCCAGAGTTACTCGACCTGACCTATGAGTCACTCAATGCATGCCTCTCCAACCTCTTGGTATTCTCACCAGGTACACCTTTTCCATTTTCCACAATGCCCCATGCTTTCAGCCTCATGGCTTTTTACACATGTTCTCTCTCTTGTCTGTAACATTCTCCTCTCTCATCTTCATTCACCTGGTTAATTCAGTCTTTCCTTTAGTTTTCTGTTTGAACATTCTCCCCTCTGAGAAGGCTTCTCAGGCCCCTCAGACCTAGGCTAATGGCTTCCGTACATCCTTTATTGTAGTACTCACTACAGGTGACAGCATGGGCTTTAGTTCTGTCTTCTGCTCCTTCTCACCTGCTTCTCACTTCCCTGCCAGTCTACAAGCTTGCCCTGCTGCTGCTTCCTCAGCAAACTTATACCTGCTACATAGGTACATACTGCGTACATAAAAGGTAGTCAGTGTAGATCTGTTCCTTGTTAAATATTCATATACTCAGACCCACTAATCCTATTTTGGGGAATCTGTCCTAAGGAAATGGTCCACCAGACAGTGTGGGATGGAAAGGGACCATGAAAGAGTGGGAATGTGGTGTTGGAAAGAGTTAGGCTTGAACGCTGACCCTTCCACCTGTGGCATGGGATTTTCTGAGGTCCAGCACTCTTCTCTGCAGACTGGGGGGGGTGTGATGTTGACGAGAAAGGAAAAGAGCCGCTGGATTAGGCACTGGCAGCTCTCAAAAAGGAAGTTTCAAACACACAAAGGAAGGATGGACATCATTTCACAGAAGAGTTCGGGAGTGAGGGGGATAGGAGAAGACAGAGGCCCAGCAGGTAAATCATTAGTCTGAGAACGTGGGGACTGCAGAGGGTGCGAGGGAGCAGGTCCCGAGGGCGCCCTCTGGTCAGGGAAGATCTGGGCACTGCCATCGTAGCAGGGAGGGAGCCTCCTCCTGTGGGACAGGACGCAGCCGACTGGGAGATGCACTGAGGCCCAAGGAGACCGAGGGGCTGGGACCACTGCACAGGGGAGGAGTTGGGCTGCTGGGAGCGGGCGGGGGACACGTTTCCCTGACGGACAGCAGGAAAGGCAGGTTAAAGCCACCGAGACACTGTATTTTCCGTGTATAATGCACACCCATGTTTCTGGTCCAAACTTTCAGGAAAAATACCTTTCATTGTACTTTTTAAAATTCAATTACATATTTATTTATATCTTGATACTTACTTTTTGTATTGTGAAGGAATTGTAGCACTTATTTTTGAACATACTATGGCACAAGAATCTTTATGTAACAAATAATTACAAAACACAAGAACAGATATATGGTATTTCAGGTACTACCCATGTATAATGCACACCCTTATTTTTCCCTCAAAAATTTGGGCAAAAACGTGCATTATACACGGCAAAATACGGTATTTTGTGCCAGTGACAGAACTTAAAAGGGTTCTCAGTGGATTATGCTGGTCTTCTTAGGACATCTCATGAGAATTAAAGAAGCCAAGATGAAATTAGAAGTTTCAGGAAAATGGCAAGGCCTTTCTGTAGAAAACAGGAAAAGCGTCCACTAAGTGTGAACACATGCGCCAGGCAGGGTTGAACGGTCCAGCTGAAGCTGGAATAGAAGTCTCCACATTCATAGTCTGAAGTGGCAACAGTGGCTTCAGCCTCACTCACAGATCGGAATGGAGAACCCGCGTGTTCGGTTTGGTCTGGGGTTGCGTATCGGCATGGCGGCTAGGGTATCAGATGGAGCATTGTTACGGCTTCCGAACCGCCTAGGTTGAGGACGGGAGTGGGAGTGGGGAGTGAGTTGGCCTACACCAAAGCAAGTTCCCAATGCCTTTTATGATGATGAGATGTGTCTTGATGAGAATCAAACTGATGAGAGTGGCAACAAGGATGACAAAAAAATGACAATCATGGGCTCATTTCTGAGGGGGGTGGGGCTCGGGGATGGGGTGTCATTGAATGGGGCCTCTAAACAGCGATGGGGGAATGAGAGAACGCCAAGGTGACTATGCTGAGCACAGAGGTCAAATAACACAGACATGTCGATATGTACACACGTATCATCAGTGACCGCACCTTTATAGTGCAGTCGTCTTTGAGGCTCATTCACAGCTTCTCTCCCTTATTTACTGAACAGCTGAGTCCAGGCTTCTGACATCTGGGTCCAGCCATGAGGAAGTCAGGCTAGGTACGGAGGGCTGAGCATTTATTCTGTTAGCAAATATTGGGTGAAGGGACCAGGTTCTTGGCATTGTTGACTGCCTGGAGGTTCAAGGAGCAGAAAGGTATGGATCCCACCTTGAAGGCTCATGGTTGACTCTTGGGCATGTGTATTACGTGCTGTAGTTTCTCAACTTTACAAGGAGCGTCAGGGGAAATGGGAACTGCCTACCTTAAACCTCCTTCATATGAAACCATGGGGGCATGCAAGAGGCAACCACACATTGATGTTTCTCTCCCTCTCTTTCCCCCTTCCCCTCCCTAAAAATAAAGAAATAAAATCTTTAAAAGAAGAATTAACTGGAGTTGGAAATTGGGGTAGGGATTGGGAGACTGCTGGTGAAGAAAGTCTGATTGTGTAGCAAAGTTTTAGAACTAAATAAAAAAGCATTTTCTAAAAAAAAAATTATTATTCTTAAGTAACACAGTATGGAACTTAGACTTATCGTGAATTTTCTAACGAAGGCTCTGGTTAATTTAATTGACATGAGAATTAAATTAATTGGTCTACCAGCTGAAAACACTGCCTACAGGTGTGAGCAGGATTTCACGGGTGGGAAAGCCCTAAGGTGCAGCAGGGTCACCAGGCGTTCTGTAGACCTAAGATACATCTTATTTAATGGTTTTGTCCTGCTTCCTCAGACCACCCTAAGTCTCCTTACTTTGGCCTTTTAAAACATAAGTTATACAAATTCAGCAGTTAGAGCTATTGATTAAATTTACCTGGGCATCCTGTACTTCTGTTTGCCAAGTTTGGTGGCCTACTAAGGAGTCACTCAACCCCGACGACCTTTCATGATTCTACAGTCTCTATTGAGGCAAGTGACCCCCCAACCCAGGGGACACTTTCAGTCCCAGAAACTCCCCGACATGAACACAGTCTGTCTCCCTGAAATGTCCACCTGTGGCCCTTAGCATCACTGTGTGAGACTGTATAGAACAAACGCAATCCATTCGACTTAAATAAGTTCCAATATCAAATTCATGTTGTTGAAGACCACCTCACATTACAGACTCTTAACACATACATCCCACCGCTGGTCTGTCTGAGCTGGCCCCCGCACACCATCCCCGAGTGTTCTTTTTAGCCCCATATTCTGCCGCCTAATTATATGTCACTCTATATGAACCTTGACTTGCTGACAGTGGTGTTTTGAGGAAAAGATTTCTACGAACATAATACAGGCAGATTTGATCAGAGGCGACAGATGAGCTGTGGAGGATGAAGGAGAGGGTGGGGTCAAAACTGCCTCTCGGGTTACTGGAGACGGCTGCTAGTTAGGATGGAGTCTGCTCTGGCGGGGTAGCTGCATTGGTTAGAGAGCATTATCCCAATACGCCCAGGTTGTGCGCTTGATCCCGGGTCGGGCATGTACAAGAATCAACCAGTGAATGCACAAATAAGTGGAACAACAAATCTCTTTCTCTCCCTGTCAGAGGAGGCTCAGGGAGGAAAGGTAACTAAATATATATATATATATATCTCACACACACACACACACACGCACACACACACTGAGCACCAATCCATGCCAGATGTGGGCACTCCCAGGTGCTGAGGACAGATGCGGCATAGAACACAACAGGTAGAATCCTTGCTCTTGTGGAGATGACATTTTATCTCTTTAGAACGGGCCTCTTGAAGGAAACCTGTGGGGACCTCTTCGAACCCTGAATCTTTGGCAGAGGAAGTCCCCTATCCTTTCCGGCTTCAAGCCGCTAGGGTGTTTGACATGCCTTTCGAGTGCCTGGCACCACTGCCATGGGACCCGCCATCCACACTGATTCCAGATGGTCAGTTGTCACCTCCTGCCAGAATCCCCTCTGGCATGTCTACCTCTCCCTCGAACCCAGGTAGCTCTTGTTCCCGTAGCAATGCCTGCAGTCCTAAAACACAAACCCTTGTCATTTTGTACACTAGGTACCTCTTTACTCCCCACTGCATTGCAAATTGCTCAAGGACGTTTTCTTAGCAAGTTTTATCTTAAATACATGAAGTAGAGCCATCCATCAGCTTGGCCTTTCTGCCAAGTAGGAAAGTCCAAACTAAGTATCTTTTCAATGTAAAATGTTAATTCAAGCCAGGCAACATCATTTTACTTTACATATTTTTCCTCCTGTTACATTAAAATAAAACCTCAAAACAAAAAGAGTCCCTAAAATCTGTCCTCCAGGAATTGTATTATAATTAAACACACACACTTTTCAAAATTCATTATAAAAAGTAAGGGTGTCGAACTTATTAATAATGGCTTTATTCACTCTTTTACATCTGACTCACTTCTGGAGGAAAGCTGCAGGCATGGAGGAGAAAGAATAATTGGGTGATGGCCGCGAGGCCAAATACTTTCTTGGGAAAGAAAGAACACAAATAAATGTGTCAATCACTGCCTCGTGTGAGTCGCCCCATGGCCAGCGGGGGGAGAGAATGGCCTTGCTCTGGACTCTGGCACCCGGAAGAAAAGGTCTCTAGAAACCATCTCCTCTTTAGCCACAATGGAAACGTTGTTCCCTAGACATACTACGTGGCAAATCTGCAGGGCTCTGAAGGGCCGTCATTGGAACGTGATTTCTCCGTCTATAGTGAGTAGTTTCAGCAGGACCTGTGAGTGCTGGGTTTTCTGAAGACCCCAGAGTCCAACCCTTATGCATTGCTGTCGTCTTCAGAACCAGTGTCACGCCTCCAACATTTCAGCAAGTTTGGGCCTTGGAGGCGTTCAGGACATTCAGACGTTTCTAATTTTGTTCCCGTTTGAAATGTGTCATCATGCTTCCTCTCGGAAACCAACTCCACATTCAGTGTCTCTCACCACTGGAGCTTCCAGAGCAACTCCACTCACACGGGGCCTTCGTCTCTGATGTGTTGTTATGCCTGATTATCCCGTTCTCATCAAATCACTTATTTGCTATGGTGTGTGTACGCCAAGAGCTTCCCACGTGTATCAGAACTTAGGCAAAGTTTCCTGGAAAGTTTGCTTTTGGTTTCTTCCAAAGTAACATGAGTTTTCCAAGTCCGAAGGATACAAAGAGGTATTTATTTTTCAGCTCTGTCACCCAAAGCATTTTAACAGAAACTTTAAAATATAGGGTCAGTTTCCTGGTGTAGAAGATTTCTCCACATCCCTCTACTGTATCTCATTTCTTTGCTTCTTGTTTGGAGGCTGGAAGGAATGGGTCAGTTGGTTCTTTGCCTGTTAGCCTAGGGTTAAAGTCTTTCCATCTTGGCTCTCACTGAGGTTATGGATTTTGTTTGAAATCCGTTCTGCTTCAGACACTTAAAGAACAGCCTCCTTCAATTCTGCTAAAACATCTCGAAATCTTTAAACAACAAAAAGTCCTGTGTGGCTGACCATGTAGCTCATGGTGGCCCCATGAACTTTGATCGAAATTTTACCTCTGATTATGTTTGGCCTTGATGCCCTTTTATACGAACACCGAAAGAAATCAAGTCAAGGTTTATGGCAAGTGAGGGCAGGGCCAGGTAGAGATGTAGAAGTTGCCTGAACCAGGGGTGCCTGAACCATACAATTACCCCCCCCAAATTATTTCTATCAGGTCTGGGGGTAATGACCAAGCTATATACTCCAAGCACCACCCACCCTAGGAAAGGGTGCGCAACCTAATTCAAAACATCCTCGGTACCTTCATGTTTGGTCGTGATTCTACCTTCATGTTTGTTCGTGATTCTACACTCCGCGGACCAGTCCTGGGGGATCACTGGGGCAACCAGCTCAGTGAACTTCGTCAGAGGACAGCTGGGGGTGCAGCCGGGCAGAGTGAGGGGATAGGGCTCGTGGTGCGTCTCGTTCCGATAGTACATCTCTACGAAGTACTCCCTGGTGGGGGACAGCGGGGGACAGAGCTCTGTTAGTTCTGCATGGTCCAACTGCCACTAGGTTTCTTTCTAGCTGGCCTGTGACACATCGGCTGAGGGACTACTAGAAGCATTGGTGGGAATGTGTAGATTTTAACCCATTCGGGGGTGGAAATGGGGAGATTGGGGCAGGAGGGCAGATCTGGAGTGGGCGGTTGGGGGGTGGTCTGTTAGATGACCAGGGGCAGAGGAGGTGGGGACCAGGAGACTTACTTTATCAGAGAAGAGGCTGGAAGGCCATGGCTGGAGAAGCTGGGGTGATTTGATTGAGTCTTTGGGGAGGAAATGGGGGCAGGTGGGGTGTGGGTTTTTTTTTCTCCTGTTCTTCCCCTTTATGCTTCTCATTGGCTCCTTCCTTTTCTCTCTTTTTATCTCTCAATTTTTTCAGGTTTCCCCCCTGAATGAATCTATCTCCCCTCACCTTAACCAGGCCATAAACATGGAACTGAATAACATATAACATGTGTGCTTGAAAATACAACGAAGACTTTCTCACAATTATAGCTCAGAACGAGTGAGTGGTGACATATTCACGTTCTCACATTCCCTCATAGTGAAGAGGCCTCTCTCCATACTTGATTTCAAAGACCAGTGTGCTGTTCAGGGAAGGTCCGTGGGCCTAAACCAGCCTCAGCAAAGCTAGTATGAGGTGCGTGGGAAAGTCATTTGCCGAAGGAAGGAGGGAAATTACAGTAGGATTTAGTGGTTTTTTCCCAAGGGATAGGAGAGATAGTAACTGCACAATTGCCACTTTTGGATGTTATAAACAAGCCTTTTGAAACACAACTTAAAAAAAGCCACACAAATATTCACTGACAAGGTGTTTTGAAAAACATCTTAATATTATGTGAATGAGTACTTACATAGTAGGGTGACTTTTCCTGTGACAGTATTTTTATCTCAAGATGATATGGCAAAGGTCAAAGTCCTTCAAAATTCGTGATTCCCTTTCCATACAGTGGAGTTGCAGCTGGGAAGTGGCTACATTTCCCAGACCCCCTTGCACCTCAGTGGGACCAAGTGACTGATGTTAGCCAGTAGATTGTAAGTAGGAGTGACGTGTGCCCCTGCTGGGCTGAGGGGGTTCCTGAGCAGGTTGCTTTCTCACCATTTTGTTCCTTTCTGCAAGCTTCCTGCAGATGAGCACGGCCCTCTTAAAAACCGTGGGTCTGAAAGATGGAACCCTGGCTCCCTGAATTACTGTGTGTGACTCACACCATGAGTCGCCCCCTACTGGTCAGGAACAGCCACATTGAACTGACAGCTGAGGGAGAAATAAATCTCCACTGGATTAAGTAAACCTCTGAGAATGTGGGGTTCATTTCTACAGCAACCAACGGTATTCTTATTAGTTAATATATCTGGTAAACAGCTTTAGGGGATTCGAATTTGGCTCTTGTGGTGGAGACACAAGTTAAGGTGCATACAAAAGTTTGGGTAAATTGTTTCATAAATTGTGAAAATGGAAAAAAAGTAGTATTTTAAATTTAGTGAATTACTTATTATAGCACAGGATTTTAAAGTTTATGTACCTAACTAAAAATTAAATATTTTAAGAATATAGTCAAGCTAACAATAACAACAATAACAAGACTTCGGGTCCAGCAATATTAATTTTGAAAAGCACCTCCCAGACACTTACCCCTCCTCAAAGTACAACTCCATCAAGTGGCAGGAAGCATAGGGAGGAAGGAGTCCGTTGTAAACATCTAGCGCCATCTGCAGGCCACTCACAGTTGTGTCATGCTACAGAGATTTGAAACAAATTATTTTTTATCTTTACCTCTGGTTCAGACTTTCATTCAATAGGTATGTATTATGTACGTGTAGAGCACCATGATAGTTTGTGATTCAACTAAATTTCCCATGCCCCCAGTGATTTAATAAGTAGAGAGGGGAAAGAACTAACTTGTTGGAGCGTCTGCTGTGTGCTAGGCAGTGAGATTTGCAAACGTGTCACCACTTCCCTTTAAAAGATGAAGAAACAGGCCCAGAGAAATGAGCAACTTGCTTAATGTCATGTAGTTCCAAACAGAAGAAAGCACATTTAACCAAGTCTTGTGATTTTCTCTCCCATGCTTGTTCCCAGTAGCATCTCTGTCATTGACTTTCATTAAGTTTTAAAATATTTTGGAACATATTAATGCTAGATTACTTTGTGTGTAGTTAGAAAAATCTGTGATTTTTAAAATTGGGGGAGGTTATTATATGAGGTTATAAATGTTTAGAGAGGATAAAACATAAGGAAGCAGAGTGTGTAGCTTAAAAATAATTGTTCAGTGTTTACCGTAGAGTTGGCTAGGAGGCAGAGGGACCGGTTTTGTCATTGGTTGTCTACCTGACTTTGGGAAATCCTCAACCTCCATACACAGCAAGTGAGTATAACACTTATTTGCCTGAACTATGTTGCCGTGTACACATACTCAAAAGGCGCGAGAACTGGTTCACTGCAGAAAGAAATGGAGTTCCAGACACACGGCTCCCCTGAAGTCACACAAGTTAGAAATAGAAGCCAGATTAGAAATTAGGATGGGGGATGGAAGGAGACTTAACTTGGGGTGGTAAACCCTCAATACACCATACAGACGAAGCATTGTATATCTGAAACCTATGTAAGTTTATCAACCAATGTCACCTCAATAAAGTCAATAAAAAAGGAGAAACTGGAGAAACTCATGTGATTGACTTTTCGGGCCTTCCTCGCTCCAGAAAGCAGTGTGCTCCTGAGCTCTGTCTCTAGTCTACGAGGGTACCGCTTAGAACCCCTGATGAGAAACAGAGTTCCTTGTATGCTCAACCACCTCTTCCCTCTCCGTGCAGAATGAAAACATGGCTTTCCCCAGCCAAACCACATCTGAGAGACCCTCTGTCATGCAGACAGTGGGTGACAGACCGAGTCAGCATTCTATGTCCAGTTTCCCTGCTCATTCCCGACCCCTCGGGCAGGCATTTCAGGGCATGGGCCCTGCCAACTCGCCTCCAACTGTGTTTCTCCCCCTGTCTCTCCTGCCCTGAGATGGATCTCTCTCTTTTCTTCCGGTACCCAAATGCAGCTCTAACCTCAAGCCGCAACTCCCTTTCTCTTTCCCTGTTCTACCCGTGCCTTTGCCATGTGGGCTTTTCAACTTGGATGCCCCCTGGGCATGTCAAACCCATTTGTCTAACTGGTCCATTCACCTGGCCCAAGACCACTCCTGTTCATGGTTCCAATTTCCTCCTAGTCATCGAGGCTTGAAACACTGCCTTTATCTGTGGCTTTACCTTCCATGTCATTACCCTCCACCCACATCCCAGCTCATCCAGCTCAAGTCCCGCACACTCAGCTTTTCCTCTCCTGTCGATGCTCTGTTTTGGAAAAGAAGTGATTGCTTTTCTTTTGAGGCACCAAAGCGCCAGCTTGTGTGGCGCTTCTATATTGCTTTGCATGGTGTTTTTATGTTTACTCATCTTCCTGTCGGTCTTACAGTGTAAATTCCTCCAGGGCCAGAATTACGTATTTAGTTTTAAAAGCTTCGTATGGATGCCTACCGTCTCCTGCACAATAGGGAAATGATAATGAAGAGGAGGAGGCCCCCACCCCCAGGAGATTACAAATGGAGGGTTGGGTGGAATCAAAAACACCTACCGCAGAATACATGACAAGTTTCCTGTGGTTTGATGGCTCAGTTGCCCTCTTCATGTGTTGGAGGATCTCCCCGACCAGGACACCTTAAAGAGATAGATCAACCATGGAGCAGGACCATACACGGGCTTCCACTTTAGTTAATAAGCTTTCGGTGAATTCATACTTACTGATTCTCTCTGCCATGATCAAGACTTTAAGAAGAAAGGGGAAGAACTAATTTTGGTTGAGCATCTGCTATGTGCCAGCAGTGTGACGTACACATGTTATTTTCCCCAATCCTGACTTCTACCCTTTTTTCTAGGTGGGGAAGCTGAGGCCTGGAGACATTAGCGCCTCATGCAGCTGGGGAAGGAGAGCCAGCCCGGCATGCTGGGACTTGACTACACCAGATTTTGTTAATGCTTCGTTAGGAGGCCGAGGAACTCAGAAGCGGTTTCAGATGGCTATTTTTTTTTTTTCAGAGTTGTTAGCCAATACTCTCCTCTAGGGCAGGCCTGAAATGACCTCAGGGCATGTACTTCTCTGCCTTCACCTCTTACTTCCACCCTCCGGCAGCTGGACCTGTTTGAAACCCTGGAGAAAGCAGCCCTCTAGTTGTCTGTACTGTTCATGGGCCATTTCTGGGGACCATTTCTGCAGGTTCCCTTGGATGCCACTGTTAGGGGGACCTGCAGCATCTTCAGCTTTCATGCGTCTCCAGAGAGGAGAGCTTCTGCCCTTCACAGTTGTTGCTCCTGAGGCGGTGAAAGGCAGATACACATCCCAGTTTTGACCTCGTCTGCAGACACTAATGGATGAGGGCTCCCTTGAGGTGCCAGGTGCTGTTTGGGGGACATGTTGCATCAGGGACTTCCACCCTTGAAGACCCCTTTTGTCTCTCTTGGTGGTCTCTGTATTACACATGTGCGCACTCGTTTTGAGATTGACCCTTTTTTTTTTTTTTTTTTAATGAGCAGGGCATTACAAAAAAGTAAGAAGAGACTTTATTGGTCTGTGTACCAATATGCACAATGAAGGATAATTACAGAGAGAAGTGACCTGCTCTCTGTAGATGCTGGGCCTTGGGTGAAGAGGAGAGGCAGCTGGATGCCCCACCTCCAGCAGGTCCACGTCTCTCTGTCCCAGGCAAGGCTGCCCTCAGGGAGCCCTGTGTGGACCTCAGCCTTATCCTCATGCTACATCGGTACTAAACCCTGTGGCCAAGTTTCTGTGAGTCACGGCAATCTTCATCAAGTTGACCCTTGTCAACAGGTGCTTCTGCAGCAGCCTTCAGTGCTGGTGATGGAATGATACTAGCTCTTGGTCTGGAGTGATTGCCCGCATTGTTCTAGGAGAAGCTAGGGGGGACTATCACTATTAACCCCAGGCTCTGGCATCCCAGTAATGATGTTTTATAGGAGGGGAAACCAAGACCCAGAGCGGTTCAGCAGATTGTCCAAGATGACACAACTGTGAGCAGGCAGGCTGAGCATCTCTGAACCCAGCACGTTCTACCCGAGAACCCCTGCTCTTAGTCATTAGACCATGCAGCCATACAAGCCAGCTTCCGAGATCCCTGGGGCACCATTTATTAAATCTGCATAAACCAGACACAATGCCACTGACTGGAAGACACAAACACCACTCCCCTCACTCTTGGGCTATAGCATGGATTGGCAACATTCTTCTGTGAAGGAGCAGGCAGTGACTATTTTTGGCTTTGTGGGCCTGCCACAATGGTGCACCCTTGGGTGGAGGCACAGAGGCAGTCAAAGACACAACCTAAGGATGAGCATGTCTGAGCTGCAATGATGACTGATTCACAGAAAGCAGGCAGCGGGCTGCATTTGGAAATGCAGGGTGTAGTTTGCCAATCCCTGGTCTAAAGCAAGAAGAGGTTTCCATTAACATGGATACGACTAGCCATACATTTCTAAATGCACCGTAGGGATTTTCTTGTGTGTGTGTGTGTGTGTGTGTGTGAGAGAGAGATTGGGGGGTGGTAAGGAGACTGTCACCCAGCAGCGTCACCCCTGAGACTGATAGAACAAAAAGTTTTGGCGAAGGTCGGAGGATGCCGGTCAAGATCCTGCTGTCCCCATGGGCCTCCATGTCACTCAGACCATGTGTTTTCTCTGTGGGTTGGCGTCCCGCCTCCACATGAGGAGACAAGCCCGTCACCGACCAGTCTCTCCTGCCTGGCCAGGTTGTCACAACAGACTGAGCTTGTGCTTTGGCAGCTATCACTCAGGAAACAATATCCTGGCGTACCCACAGCGTTGGACTTCCTCCAGAAAATAGGGCAGGTGCATCCACACGAGGGCCAGCCCTTAGAGTCCAATGCTGAGAGAACACCTTAGGGAGGGAGTCGAATAGACAGAGTCTCGTTCAGCACACACATGGGGCAGGGGGCCTCAGAACTGAGACCCAGAGAGGGGAAGTGGCTTCTGTGAAAAACAACCTCTAGTCACCAAATGAAAAAAGAGAAAAGCAGGAGCGAGCTGTTAGATTAAACCCTATCTTTTGTTCATAGACAGACTACTGCAGCTACTATTAGGCTGTTGACAACTCCGGCCAGGATTTTCTGCTGTTTTCTCCACCATCTCTTGCAGCTAGAAAAGTGTTTCTGTAACTTTAATGTACAGATGAGGTTCTTAGAAGTTTGATTAAAATGCAGATTCTGATTCGGCTGGTTTGGGGGTGGGGCCTGAGGTTTTGCATTGGTAGTCAGGTGATAGCCCATGTGGCCGGTCCTTGGGCTGCATTTCAGTAGCAAGGGCTTAAATTCCTGAGCCCATTATGATTAGGTTGGAAGAAATAAATCCAGAATCCTGCCTCCACTGTCTACAGGGGCTTGATATTGAGTTATAACGTTGGCACCTGGTGGTCCATGCGGGAGGCCTGGTGCTTGTATAGCCTATGAGCCCCAACTTTCACCCTCTGCATCATTTTGTTGTTTGGTATGTAAGGCTGAGCTGCTTCCTGGCCTCCATCCTTACACACAGTCTGTGTCCTGCCTGGAAATTTTCCCCGACATACCAGATCCCATTAAAGACTCATCTCTGGATGCTCTTCCTTCCCAAAAAGCTGGCTCTTGCTGCTCTTGCCCTTAGCGTGGGGTAAAGACTTGCACACTTCTATGAGGTCTGCTTCTGTGCCGTGTAATCAAGACTTTTCTAACAGCAGGCCTGCAACTTGATTACATCATTAACAACCACTGTCCTAGAGTGATTGCCACAAGCTACTTCGTACACCTCTCATACAGAGTTGCTCTGGACCATCCTGACTTTAGATACCTTATTAGCTTGTGACAAAGACTGCTTTTCTGGCTACAGCTTCCCTCACTCTTTTGTAGCTACAACTGACTCCTCTCCTGGCTGGTGATTCGAATCCTTTCTGTAGCGATGCAGCCCTGAGTGAACTTCCGCCCCGTCTGGTCCAACCGCTAGGATGCTTTGCCTCTACGTATACCCTAAGGGCTCTGCTGAACTTGTCCCAACCCCATGGCGCACAGTCTGGCCATGGCTGGAGTCCTGTTGTGACTGTACTGTTTCCCTCAGACTGTCTACAGCATATGCCTTGAAAGACTTCCTGTGGCTTAGAATTGCTTCATTGTTATGTCGACATGACATAATGGGCCTATTCTTGTTCTCCATCCTTAGTTTTCATGCCTACACCAACAACACTTGAACCTGACACACCCTCTGGTGCCTTGGCTTGCCTACCGGATGCCCTGAGAGGCCTGTGCTCAGCCCCACCCTGGCCCTGGCTTCTTTCTTCCACCCGCCTCTCACGATTATAAGGGCTTGTCATCCCCTCACCTGGGTCTGCCTTCATCATGATAGAATTCATCATATGCTACGAAGGGCCACATCTAGTTGAAAAGAGGCATCACTGAGAAATAAACACTTTTCAACACCAATGGAAAACTTAAGCTGAGTCATGAGCTTATCAGCTGCTATGGGTATTAACTTGCAGGGCATAATTAGCCTGCAAAATAGGTTTTATTAACTTTCGCAATAGCTGCCAACAAGGGTTTCGGGAAAACAGGCCACTTTGGTCATCCACCCACTTGAATAATTCATGCCATAGGCCATCAGATACAACTGGTTTTCATGGGGCTTAGATTCAAAATCCTTGATTCTTTGATCTAAAGAGGATGAAAAGTATCATTTACCTTTTGCCCAAAGCTTTCATTTTCCAGAAGCCAGAGTGGATAATACGGATAATTATAATAACACAATGTTTATTCTCAGTGTATTATGTACCAGGTAGAATTCATTCTAAACCTTTTGAATATATTCGTTCATTTGAATCCTTATGACCTACAAAGTAAATGTTATTATTATCCCCATTTTGCATGATGGAAACTGGTACGAGAGCGGATACGTGGTTTGTCCAAGGTCACGGGCTGGTTACTGGCTGAGGCAGGACTCAGAGCTCCATCCCGCCACACAAATCCAATGGCTCCCCTCACGTTTCTAAAGGTACTCACCCCCCTGCAGTCGAGATTTCTCTTTCTGTTTGTGGATCCCATAGGTGGACAGGAGGGCCAATTCCGATAATTCCTTCAACTTCGTCATGGCATCGTCTGTGGCCCAGGAGGGCAGAGTGAAATTGTGGGTACGCTGTAGCAAAGAAAAGGGAAGGAAGCATGTACTTTTATTTCTGATGCCTTCTCTGTGGGCCTTTGAGCATCTTTCGCCCACAAGAACTACTGGGTCCAGGCTTTCTTGTCCTGCCACTTCTTTCTAGGAAAACTTTGCTTTGTGCATAGTCATGGTATTGGTTTTCAGAAGAATTCACAAAAATGAATTTGCCCCTTCCTACCATGTCCATAGCTTTTGGCTTAACTCTGGGTGAAAAGATGATTAATATTTTGCAGAGTAAGGGTGGGATAGGGCAGGAATGTACCTTATTCTTTTATGAAAGGTTTAGAAATCTTCCTATTGCCCTGGGGCGGGGAGGTAAAGCTGACAAGGTCAGATGATATTTCCTTAAAAGGTGAACCAGTGGCTTAGGAGGACGGATGGGAAAGGTCATATATTTCTAGGGCCTTCAATAATGTACTCCCACTGCCACCAGCTTCTAGTGCACGGACCCCCGAGGGCCGCCTGCAGCTCCCACACAGCAGGCACTTGGTGAGTGTTCGTTGCACTGATGACCTGACTGCACGTGTACAGCAGGGCAGGTAGAGGCCTTGTGCCCATGTCTGTGACCTGCTGTGAAGTTAGTTCAGATGGTCCCAGTTTCAAAGGCAGGAGATGGGGGTTGTGGGGGGGCAGGGAGAGAGAGAGAATGAAAGTGGAAACCTAGGAAAAGTGAAACAAGAGAGGAAGAGGTGAAAAAGAACCACACGCCATGACTACATTGTGGAATCGCTCAGATCAGACGGTAGGAAGGAAGAAAGAAAAATCAGGACTGGAATCAAAATGTGGGCACTTTTCTCCATTGAGGAGTCTGATAAATAGGCTAACAAATCTTCCTTGAAACAGATGATGAAAAAGTAACAATATTAAGAAAGTAATGTGTGCTTGGGTCAATAAACTTTGACATGAAGGGGGGCAAACTGTAACTGGTACTGAGGTGGAACTATGAAAGTAATTGCTGACCCCCAGACACAAGGACTTCGAAATCGCAAGTGGTACGAGTCACGTGGAGGGTTAGAATTTTGCCCCAGGATTCAGTGAGCTGGTCGGAAACCAGAACTTTACAGTACTCCTTTCGGCCAGTAGGTGGAGCATAGTGCATGAGAAACACCATGTGTCCTTGAAAAACTCAGTAATTTACCTAGCTACAAAAGGTATTTTGTATGCATTATATAGCAAGAAAGAGATCCTCTCCTAATAAGCCATTTTGAATAGCTTGGCTTAAAGTTTGATTTGCTTGTTCTTATATCCAGAAATTGGATAATCTTTTTTCTTTTACTGTACAATAACTTTGTGTTTTTTCATTAAAATCCATGACAGGAGCCCAGCATTCCCGAGAGACAAGGCATAGAAGAAAAGCAATTTTGTTTGCAATTTTCTAAAGGGTGAAAACATAAAAAAAAACCAGTGAGAGGAAGTCAGAATGTTCAAGTTAATATAAAGAAGCCTGGAGTTACGTTGCAATGTCAAAGAAAGTATAAGTAATACATCTGCAAAGAAGCGAAAGAAAATGCATTCATCTCTTTCAAAGTAGGCATACGTCAAAATCAGATTGCAAGTTAGCTGATGTTTTTTTCTTTTACCTCACAAAATAAAGCGTCGTAGACTTTAATCCAAATTCCAAAAAGGTCCTTGCTGTGGTATCCTGAAAATTTTGCCAACGTGTCTAGAAAATCCTGAAACACACACAGGGGGAAAAAGAATGTCCACACCAGGGTTTCTCAAGGTCAGAATCATTGACGTGTTGGGCTGGACAAATCTTTGTTATGGGGGCTGCCTTACGTATCTCAGGATATTTAGCAGTATCCCTGGCCCGTACCCACTTGACACCAGCATCATCCCAGTCCCTCAGTTGTGGACAGCCCCAAATGTCCCCAGACTATACCAAATACTCCCTGCAGATGACCCCGGTTAAGTGCTGCTATTCTTTACAGAAAAGTGGGCTGGTAATACCGGCTAAGATAATGCCAACTCAAAGAATTTCACAAATACTCATTGATCATTTCTCATTATTTCATTAAAAATGTGAGCGACAGCTGGCTTATGGCCACATGCTCCTGGAATTAGATTGAAGTGCACTGCCTCAAAATTCTTTGTGGAAGTAGGTTAAGTATAACTCACGTATACATGATTGGCCAAAGTAAGAAGGGGAAGCACGTTCCAGGCCAAACAAAGCCCCCTGAGAAAACACAGGGGAAACAGGACCTGGTTTCTGGCTATCGGCATGAAATGTGCACAGGATGCAGACAGTTCTCTGGGTTCTGTATTACTCTTAGACGGTCGCGATGAAGAGACCCACTGTTCAGCTATCTGCCTGCTGAAACAGGCAGCAGTGTCTGGGAAGTATTTTGGAAACTACTGTTTGATGGACACATTTTCTAGGAAATAGTTTGCCAGTATTAACCCACACATATATTCAGAAAACAAATGGCATTAAGCTAGACGAAGATACCTAGAGTTCACCTGTCATAAGAGAAAAAAATGACTGCAGCAGAATGTCGCAGTAACCCTGTGCTTTCTCGTCTCCTTCCTGATTTTGGAGGAGACCTTTCTAGTGATACCAGTTTTCACTTACTAGATTGAAAAGTGTCCCTAACTTTGTCTGCACACAGTTGACAGACAGCGGAGAAACAGCTGTTCGTCATGCACTGTCGAGAGGAGTAGGGATTGGCATGTTTGTCTTGAGGGTAATTTGATAACAGTTTAAATTGCTCCAGAATTTTACTTCTGGAATATTATTCCTGATGTTCTTGTGAAATTATTTATATGCACCTTCTATCCAGGCAGCTATAAAAGTAAAAGATTGGAAATGACCCAGATTTCCATCAGTAGAGACTGGTTAAATAAACTCTGGTATGAGCATAAATTCAAACACACAGGAGTAAAAAAAAAAGTGAGGAAACTATGTACAAATAGAGAACTATTTCCAAGATATTTTGTTAAATTAAAAAAAAACAACAAGAGCTGTCCAACACTGTAAATAGTATAGCACTTCTGCGTAATAAAGGGGGAAACTACCAGAATATATTTAAATGTATTTGCATATGAATAAAGAACTGCAAGACCGCATGAGAAAATACTGTCAGCAATTACCTGTGGGGTCACTGAGAGACTTTCCACTGTATTCCTTTATATATATATATGTATTTGATTTTTGAACAGTGTAAATGTATTACAGATTCAAAATATTATTTTTAAAAGTACCAAGCATCATATTTACATTTTGTATTGTCTTGAAAAGAGGAATCTCACCAAGTAGAATCATAAAGTAAAAACAAAATGACCCTTTGCACGTGGAGACAACAGCCCCAACCCTCGGCCTCACACGACGTCAGACCACTTTAGATTTGCACTGATCCTGAGCCAGACACAGTCACCCAGCTCCTGTCTGAGACACGGGAATAAGATCCAAAAGGGACTGGCTTCTTTACTGACTCATGGCCCCAGCACAACGATGGGGACCGCACTGTGATGACTGACCTTCATTAAACAGTCTAACCCACTACCATTACCAGCCGCCCTCAGACACGTTCCGCCCACACTTTTAAGAAGCTGCAGCTTCCTCCTTGACGCTATTTTTTAACCTTGTAAGGGCGCAGCCTCTTCTGGAATTCCTCCGACTTCAAAGTCTCACTCTGAAGTTCCTGGAAACGAGGGCAGTTTCTGAAAGGCAGGTATAGCAACTGAGGACGAAAAGAAAAATCACAAAGCCTTTATGATTCAGAAGAACTTTGCTAAAGATGCTGCAGCCATATTTTAAACATGCAAAGGGATCTTAATTAAAGATTCAAATGTGTTTTGAGATGCACAGAAACTCTAAAATTGAGGGACAAGAGATAAGTAGTCTGCAGGTCTTAAATAGTAGGTTATGCACCCAGAACTGAAAACCTTTTTTTTTTTTTTCATGAATTTGCCTAAATAGGACTGTGCTGTTGGTACATATTTACACTTCCTGGCTTTCCATGTGAAATAGTAAGCGTTATCTTGTTTTTTTTTCCTGACTCTATTTCTAGGTATACATGAATACAGAGAAATGAATTACGGGTTCTTAAAAGAATCTAGAGAGATGGATTAACTATTCATTGACTTAATTCCTGTCAGTTCACAGATTGCTAAAATAAGGGCACATATTAAATCAATAGAAAAATATATTCTTTTGTAGCTTTAACGGGTGGGTGACTCCCAGGTTTCTTTTGTTGCTCTTACTTTCCTTCTGTGGCTAGTCCAGCCGTTGGGCGATGTCACTACTTGGGTGGTTCTCTTCTTCCTCAAATTTAACATGTACAAAGCTGAACTCAACTTCTTCATTTTTAACCATTTCCTCTTCGAGATCTCTCTACTTCTGCCAATGGCAACATTTATCATTCTGCTTCAGAAACTCATCACTTTTGCTTGTTTGCTTTTAAAACATTTTCAGAATAGACCCCTTTTGTTTATCTTCATTTGCCCTTCCCAGCCCAAGCCACCATAGTTTCAACTAGTGCAAGAGCGCCCTGCCTGGTCAGTGGGCGTCCACTCTTTCTACCCTCACATTTCATTCTCCAGGAGCGGCTCCACTAACCCTTTTTATTTTATTTTTGTGAACACTAATCTCTTTTCAAGCCTCAGTCAGGTCATGCCATTCTGTGGTTCAGAAACTTCATTGGCTTTCCATCTTACTTGGAATAAAACCCCAATTCCCAGTGAGTCCCTAATGACTGCTCCGCCCTGCGTTCCCGCGGTGGTCCTCACTGGCCCCTCCCCAGCGGCCCGGTGGGGCTCCAGGGTCCCTTGAACACACAGGCCTGAGGTCTCTGCAGACTGTTCCCCACTTGAGATGCTCCCGTGTTGACTCCCACTCGGATTTTCTGGCCAACCAGCCCCAGCCTCCACCACGTGGCCTCCTTTTATCCCCTTGGAGCAGCTCGTCGCAGTCTGAGATTAATTTATTTATTTACTTTTTAGTGATCTAGTTCCTGTAAAATAAAGACTCGAGGAACACCAAGATCTTGACTAATTTATTCACCGCTGTGTTGTCAATGCCCGGAACAGGGCCGGGTGTATTACTAGTTATTCAGAAAACATTTTTTTAAATTAAGTTGCTTCCTGTCATTTTCGATTCTGTGTGTAACTAGTCCGCCCTCTCTTTCCTTCCCTAACGTCTACACCATCTCACTTCAGGCCTTCGTTTCCTCATTGCTGAATTGCTTCAACAGTTATTCTCAGAGGCTCAAGTATCTTTCCTCCCTGGCCACTGTCAGACAAATGCCTTGAAGCACCACTCAGCATGTGGGTGTTATACTTGCAGAAAAAAAATTATTTAACTTTATTTTTCAATTACAGTTGACCTTCTGAAGAAGGTATACTTTTATACTGACTGCTTTACACCTAAATTTCCTTATAGGGCTTTCAAAACTTTCCATCGTTTAGAAAAGACGTTGTTGAAGAGAAAAGCACAGGGCTGTTCGTCGAAAGGTCTAGGTTTTAATGAATGATTTGATCTTTCTAGGCTTTAGCTTTCTCATTCCACACATTAAAGAGTCAGGATGAAATGTATAGAACAATACCTAAACATGCCCAGCATTTTGCAGTTTCTAAAGTCTATTCCATTTCTTAGCTAACTTCTTTTCTCAAATCCCTGTGAAGAAGTGAGGTGGATACTGTTCTCATTTTACAGAAAAGAAAACTGAGGTGCAGGGTTACTCAAGGTCAAGTGTCTTAATTAGTTGGCCATCAAACCTAGGCTTTCCCAACTTTGAAGCTTTTATGGGATGCTGCCTTTCAGCCTCATGATTCCTTCTGGCTATTAAATTTGGATTCTCTAATCTGTACCCAACATAGTTTCATTCTTTCTAAATATGAACTCTGAACTCAGAAGGGCTAGTGCTCTGTGTGTCACTCTCTGCCATGCTTTCCGGCTGCCTTCCTCTCTTTCCTATCCCTCCCCCAAGGTCTTGTTCAAGTTCTTACTCTCTCCCTGAAGACCTGAGTGGCTGCCCTTTGGTAGCTCCATGTACATCCCATTCTCTGGATTCCTTCAGCACGTCCAGCATGTATTTGAAATCATTGCCCACCATCTTATAGTCTACACATTCCACACATATGAAACTTTTTTCATCAAACAGATTATAAATTAACAAAGAAACCTGGCTTCCTGTTTCTCTTGTATTTCTCCACAGCACTTAGCACAGCTCTGGGAATATCTTTGTGTTGATTGATTTTGTTTGATTTCTTAGTTGATGTTAGAATTGTTTTCACCTTAGTGAGTAGTAGCTAGAAGCTCTAGGTAAGTAATCTTACTTGTTCCTCTCTTACTCTCTCACACTCTTCCCATTTTCCTCTTCTAATAGCACCTATATTCTCTTTACTATTTAATGCAAATACTATCTTTCAGGATTAAGGGCTTAACAGGTACTTTGGCCTACTTTGGTTAAAGTTGGTGTTCTCTCCAGTCTTTATCTAAGTGGAAAAGGCAGCAAAAAGTGACTTTTCTCCTTTTTGGAAGAATATATTCACAAACTCTTGAGAACACTGATAATCATAATACTTCACTCCTGATTATATGATGGAAAGATGCATAAATAAATAATCCTGTCCTCTTAGGAAACACCAGAAAAACTGGTTGGGGCCTATTAACCTAGACCGAGGTTGACAGTGTCGAGTTGCTTCTACAAAGCATTTGGGGAAAAGTTTTAAGTCACAGGATACAGCAGTTAGGTCAAATTTCTAGGAGCACTTGCAAGGCAAAGAGAATAGTAACTATCTGAGAGGTCACTGAGCAAGCATCTGGGTCTAGCGGTCATGGTACGCTGTGGCCATGGAGAGGTGAGATGGCCATGTCGTTAATGCAGCGGGGGGATTAGAAGGCTTCCTTGTTCCCAACTATTTGCTTCATATGGTCTTAAATTCTTTTTTTGAATTAACAGGGTTTTTAAAAAAAGATTTTATTTATTTATTTTTAGAGAGAGGGGAAGGGAAGGAGAAAGAAAGAAAAGGAGAAAAATGTCAGTTGTGTTGCGTCTCGTGTGCCTCCTCCTACTGAGGGCCTGGCCTGCAACCCAGGCATGTGCCCTGACTGGGAATCAAACCAGAGACCCTCTGGTTCACAGGCCATATAGTCTGAAATTCTATGCCTGGGAGAGTAGATTTATTTATCACTATTAAAAAACAGCCATCCCTCTGAAGATGTTAAAGAGTTCTTGGTCAGTCCCAACCAGTGTAAATAAATTTGGGGATTTTTCTCAAAGCAGCTTGCTTCACAGTACTGCCTCTCAGACTCAGCTGTCCACCAGACTCATCCAGGGAGATTGTTTGAAAAATGCTGATGCCTTGTCCCAACCTCAAACATTCTGATTTGTTATAAAGATTGCCCTGGGCATCGGGATTTAAAAAAAAATTGTCTGGTAATTCTAATATGCAGCTAAGTTTGAGAGCCACCAGTTGACAGGGAAGGACACTGCTCTGTAATTGCCTGGTCCCAGCAGTGTTGCTCAGCAGTGGTGCGGCTCTGGGTCCCATCCTGGTTAAATTCTTCACGTACTGATTTCCCTGGCTATCAAAGGAGAGCAATAATATTATCCATTCAAAGTTGTTATGAAAGGTAAATTCAAGGATGCATATAAAGTTTTGGGTACCAATTATATATTCGACTCTCTTTTTTCTACCTAGAAATGAGGATTTTAGGGTTACTTTGTAGGTAAAGAGGTCTTAGGATATTTGAGAGGGATAAGAACTCTGTGTGGGCCATCAAAATAATTGAAGGCAGAACACTGGGAGCCGTGTATGATGTGTGTGGGTGTGTGTGGACAGAGAGGGACAATTTGCCGAAAGTTGAAAGAATGGCAACGCCAAATAGATAATAAAGATCCAAAGAGAAATTCTGTTCCTACTCTTTGTTGCCTCAGGCTTTCTATGTTCTGCATTGTCCTTTGTACCTTTATTTAGGAAAGAATTAAGACCAAACAGCCCAAGGAGAGTCCAGACGCCCAAATCCACAAGTACCGAGCAACCTGCATTCCTCCTTCCAGGACCAAGAGAATCTGCTGGTTTTCCCAGAATACTGACCTGATCTTCAGAAACTGGGACTGTGTGCACAGGGATGGGCTGCCAGGGTAGTTTGGGATTCCAGACGCTGATACCCTCTGGGGGAAACAGGGCTGCCAGGTTTGTCATAGCACTCATCAAGGTCCGGTCAATGTCTGTGCTTCGAACATAGATCTAAAGTGGGAAAATCAAAGCAGACCCCAGCTGAGAGGAACTGTGGTTTTTTTCCTGTGCAGCCAATATTTGAGAAAGGGCAGGATACCCACACCAGAATAGTAGCAGACATTGCGATAGCATCATGACCATAGATTCTGTCATGAAAGAGACAGAATTATGAGCTTGCCATGCTGTAAAGCAACCTGGGATGCCAATAGTTGACTTGACAAGGGACCAATTAAGTGATGGCCACTTGCCAAAACCTGCCAGGCTCAAATATTTACCATAGATGTCCATAAAATGTTGAACTTACTCTTATTCATATTTTTTTTGGGAACAAACTATTTCTATAAAGAGGAGGGCATTTCTAAACAAGATAATCTGACTTGTCTAAGTTCCTTGGGAAACAGGCAAAGCAGTTCAACAAGTGCAACGTTAGGTTGACTCCCTTCAGAGGGACAAGGCTCTCACTTTGAGCTCCCAGACTTGCCTGTTGATGTTTATAGGACTCGTTCAAGAATTGTCCGTATCTTTTCCTTATGTACTCTCCAAGTTCATAATGCTGCTCCATGCCCACCTAGGGGAAGAATAAAAGAAAAAATTTACTGAAAGTAAGTTCTGTGAATCTTACTTATGCATCTCACCTCTCATCAAATGAGTAGTGTGAACAATGGTGTACTTTAATAGTTCCACAATAACAACACATTTGTAAATTGAAATGAGAAAAGAAAGCTGTAACTTTTAGTCATGACTCCCTGAGAAAACTCTTGTCTCTTCATTAGCACTTAACATGGAGCCTTGCACAGTTAATAGCTGGTAATGGATCTGGTTTCCACAAGTGATTCACCTCTGGTGTGGTAGAACGTGCAATGGCCGTCTTTGTTGGCAGAGCGTTCAGAGGCCTGGTTGACCACTTGGGGATGGGGAGGGGTGGTTGGAGGAAGAAATTTGACCACCTGATAAAAGGTTGGATTTGGTGAATATGAAGATCACTTTCAATCTCTGGGTGCAATGTTTTATTATTTGCACAGTTTATCCACATGTGGTACCTGAAAAACTAGAGCCTGTTACAAAGTGTGTTCTGTGGATCAGCAGTGTTAGCATCAAGTGGGAGTATGTTAGAAACTAAGTTCTTGGGCCCCCTGCTTTGGGGATGAGCTCAAGAATTTGATTTTAACAAGCTCCTTACGATTCTGATGGCCAGTAACCGTTGAGAAGCATTGCCTTAGCTCAGTGGTCCTCAAACATTACTGTGCATCCGAAGCAAAATTTATCTAGGGGTGCTTGTTGAAATTTGCATTCCTCAGCATTTCCCCCAGAGATTCCTGCTCATTGAATCCTGGGTTATAGCCCTGGAATCTGCATTTTAACATGCCCTGAGTGATTCAGATCCATGCAGTAGAGCACCATGCTTTCAGAAACACTTCACTCAAGTCTGTCTTTCATCTAGAGCTTCACCAGAGCATCAGGAGTCCAAGAGGATGTGGTCACTGTGGCCTCTGCTTGGTCCCACTCACTCATTTGCTTGTCACTCCTGGCCACCACTGTCACCACCACCCCTCAAGAATGGGGAAGGAGGTAGCAAAGGAATGTGTGCTTTGAGGTTTGTGAGTTTCCTGAATGACCTGGGGAGCTGAATAAGCAGGTACTTTGGGTCTAATTGTTGTTCTAATTTAAAACTGACTTTTGAGGAAATAGCTGACGTCTGTAGAGCAGCGTTTTTCAAAGTTTACTGTGCACGGAATCACCAGGAGGACTCACTGAACAAAAATTCCCAGGCTTCCAACCTGGACTTTCTGATTTAGTAGGTAGGGCAGAAGCTTTCACAGTTACATTAGGTTTCCAGGTGATGGTTATATTGCTCATCCTGGAACCACACTTTGATAGCCATTAACCTAGAAAGCCATCACTTGTCATTATGTACACTGGATGTACCCGGTCAAGGGTAATTTTGAGCCCTAGAACCTTGCTCCTTCAAGGGTGTCCATGTACCAACGCTGATGGCATCACCTGGAGGCATGTCAGAAATGCAGAATCCCAGGTCCCATGCCAGACCTGCTGCATTAGAATCTGCATTTTTAACAAGATCTCCAAGTGAGTCATTTGCACTTGAAAGCTTGAGCAACACTGCTCTAGGAGATTCTGATGGTTAGTGGAGAAACTCTCAGAGGAGGAATACAGATCCCACAATCGGGAAGTGTATTTTGGTCTTACTGTAAAAGCACAGCAAGGGAACAGGAATCTATACAGACCCACAGTTATTAAGAAGTAGCCCTGGATTGTTGTAAGACCTCTTACTCAGGAAGTCACAAGCTGGGTAGGCTATGGTGGAAAGAGCTCTGACCTGAGAGCCAGAAGATGCTGGCCTCAAATAATCTCTCTGCGTTTCCATCTCTATAAAAACTGTAGTTGACTTAGGGCAGTAATTCTAAACTTTGGCTGCCATTAGTCAGCTGAGAAAATGAGGAGCTTCTAAAAATCCCAGTATCCAGGCCATACTTTAGGCCAATTAAATAATAATCTCCTAGGTAGACATTGATACTTTTTAAAGCTCTTCAAATAATTCCAATGTTTGACCAAATGTAAGACCCATTAGTGCTAGAGACATCCAACTCTAAAGATTCTTTGACTCTTTCTTAACATATTTAAACAGTGCTTTGGTCAGGACAGAAGCAATGCACCTGGCCTTACGGCTCCAAACAGAAGAGCCATCCACTCTACACGTGAAGGGGATGGGGCACTGGAGCAGGCACTGCATTTGCCTTTGTTCCCCAGGTCAGCTTCTCTGTAGTGCTCACTAGGAAGTAGGGCTTCCTATGTGTAAGTGACCACTTGTAAGGAAGGCTCACCCCCAACAGATCCAGCTGACAAGAAATCAAATGTGCTCTCAGCACCTCCAGGGGAATAATGTCTTCCCAACACTGTTGATGCAGCTTATTGATTCCAAGAGTATTTTCTGCTTTCTCAGGTGGAGCCTGAGAAACTCAGAAGCTGGCTTCTGGCTCTCTTCAGCATCTCTAAACTCCTGTTACTCAGGCACATCTCTTATCCTTTCATAAAACCCACAGTGTAAAAAAGATCAAAACAGGCACTTCTCTGTACTTCTTCCAGTTACTGGTCACTAAGGGTGGGTGACTTGGACATGATGAGAAACGATGAAGCTAACCATTAGTTCCTCTTGTTCCACAATTGAAACAGAGTTTAGACTTTCAGATCCCAGGTAATTGTGCAAAGTATTTTCCCAGATCTGAGTAATTAAAGCAGTTATGTGGTTTCGCTAGATTACAAACTCCACAACGTTTCATTTCCCTTGAGACCTATCACCAACTTTAGCTAAAAATCCAACCAACCTGAGTGAGTTGGCCAAATCCCTGTGGCCACGAGGATTCTTTAATGGGGTCATTGGGGAAGGTATCAATGGGACTTCGGTCTCCATGCCTAAAAACCTGAAAATAGATTAAGACAGTAATGTTACAAATTTCACTTAGGTATTCTGCCTCTGCTCCTCATGATAGATGTATTCTAAACCACTGGTCCTCAGCTTTGGCTTCTCATAAAATCACCTGGGGAGTTAAAAAGATTCTGAGGATGGACCCAGCCCTAGTAATTTTATTTTAATTAGTTTGGGGTGTAGCCAGGGCATCAGAATTTTAAAAACCTCCTCAGGTAAATCTTGGGTTAAGAACCACTGTTCTAAGACCACTAACACTTCTGTGTTTCAGGTAGTGACAGTACCATGATAATTGGCCATTAGGAGGCAGGCGACCCACACCTGGAGAGTGGTTTGTGCCTTGGGCAGGACGAGAAGGAACGCAAAGCTTAGCAAGATCATTTTATTGCAGACAGACTCCGATGAGAATTATTCCTTCCTTAATTGTAGTTACAGTAATAATGGTGTTCAATTTTTTGCATGTAATAAAATAGTGGCTATGAAATTCTATAAGAATTTGCAACCACTGTGAGCCAATGATTTGTGAGTTTTTAGGAGGTTGGGGGTAAAGGAATTGGGTGAAGAGATGAGAAGAGTGAATTCTCAATACTTTAAAAACAGACTTTGGATATGTAAACATATCATGCTATTTTGATTGCCCATTTTATTCTCTGGGGAGAATGGCCCGAACTTTTGAAATCTTGGCTCTTTGATGATACTCTCTGAGCAGTATACTAAGTCAAACACAAAGTTATTTAATAAGCAAATGATAGAAGAAAAATATGCAAGAAGTACAAGACGAAGTTTACACTGATGTCAGCGAACATATTTAATTGCATTATCTGAGATTGCCTGCGCTTTTCACACATACTACTTAACTAAGGTGCTCCATTGAAAAGAAAGCCAGGAGGCTGCCCTTCTGAAATTCTACAAAATAGTTCATCAGACCCTGAATTAGAAACAGTCTCAAAACTTCAGCCATCTTTGAGGTGGGATTCCAGGACAGCGAGGGACGATTCTGAGACCTGGGTTGTGTCTCTCATGTCTGAAGGAAACTGACCTTTTGGTCCCTAAACCAATGACACCTGACTAGTTAGGGGCACTGACCTCTTTTTCCTTAGATGGTCAAAAAAACAAACAACAACAAAAAAACCGACAGCAGCCAACATGACAATAGGTGTCCAGTGTGAATAAATAAAAAATAATATCTATTTTTGTCAGATCAGCAAAAAAAATCCAATACATTTCTTAGTGTGCCACAGAATTTTAGTAATTTATTTTGTGCCATGAGATGAAAAGGTTGGAAATTGCTTCCCTAACCTAAAAATCGCTCAGTAGAACAGGCTGCGGAAAATGAGGGCTAATGGTGCGGTGGATCTTAAGAAAACATGTTGGTCGGGTAGGGAATTACTGTTGTAAATGGCACCCTTCCGGCAGGAAGAAGGGCTGCATACTCTCTGATGAGAACCTGCAGTTGTTAGGCACCGAGCGTGACTTGGTCATGAGCAGAGATTACTGAGGCCAACGCCTAGCGCTTCTCTCTCTTTTCAGAGTGGAAACAGTTCAGACGTTTAGATCCCAGAACAATACATGCAGAATACTTCCCCAGATCCAGGTAACTCCAGCTGTCCTATGGTTTCAATACACCTCACATGGCTTAGTTTCTAGAGTTTCTGTTGCCATTTGGGTTGGATCATTCCTCCCGAGGGGCTGTCCTGTGCATTGTAGGATGTTCAGCGTTTACCATCCCTGGCCTTTGCCAAGTAGATGCCGGTAGCATTCTGCACTAGCGACAATCTTAAAGGTCTTTAGACACTGCCTAATGTCCCCTGGGAGCTAAATCACCCCCAGCTGAAAGCCACTGAGTTAGTTAGAGGAAGTCAGATGAGATGCCTTACATTTCCTACTGGACTATCACTACAATAATGCCTCAATATTTTTTGAACTCTTGTTTCCTCCTATAAACTGTGCTACATGCTTTTTACACATTTGTTCCTCTGATTGGTTGTCTAAAGCAGCTATTATTTTCATTTCCCAAGTGAGGAAATTGACCTGAGTTAAGTGACCTGCCCAAGGTCACACAACAAGTGAGTGGCGGAGAAGAGCTCCCAACACAGGCCGCGTCTCCAGCGCTGGCGTTCTCAGCCTCGAGTGAGAGGTGCATTTCTCTGTGGTCCTACACACCCCTCAGCATCGCATCCTAAATGTGCATAATGTGGGATTTGGGGCTTTTTATAAACTCTACTCTTTCCCTCTCCATTTGGAAGCCGTGCGTGAGGAAGGGTGGTGCGTCACCCTTGATGTAAACTGCAAACATTATTCGAACAATAGAGCAGAGGTTATGTAGCTAACTGACAGAATGGCCTGGGGAGCAAAACAAGTGTGGTCCCTTCCGGGGATGTCCAAGCCGCAGCCCACGGGCCGCATGCAGCCCAGGATGATAGGAATTTGGCCCAACGCAAAATCGTAAATTTACTCAAAACATTATGGGGTTTTTTTTGTGTGTGTGACTACATGTCGAAATGTATTTAACATGTGGCCCAAAACAACTCTTCTTCTTCCAGGGTGGCCCAGAGATGCCAAAAGGTTTTTCCTTAGAGGAACGTATTGAAAAGAGCAGAGTGCTGAGACAGAGTCACGAGACACAGGCACACTTCCAGACTCGGTCTCCCAGGCCAGGAATAACTGTACTCCCTACACTCCAGCAGGTTTTAAAGGTTTCTGAGGGAGTGGCCCTAACACGCTCTGAACTCTTTGGAAGGAGTGTTGCCCAGAAACACTTAATAAACCATCCTCCAACTCCAGTGCCAGAAACCCAAGTGGGTGTGCATGTGAGCACAGGCACGCACACACACAGGTGGCATTCTTGAGCTTCTGGAGTTGCGCCAGTTCAGCTGGGGCCCTCGGACTCTGCCTCGGTGCTCTTTACGTCTGTGGCTGGGCAACCCTCTCACCTGCGGCTCTGCCAAATCTATACCTTCTCTTCTCAGTTCAGCAGTCACACTCCAGGCAATCCTTTAGAAAACTCAAAATGTGTTATTAGCAGTGGGTCTATTTGCAGTACTAGTGGTAATTACTATGGGAAGACATTCAAGATGGTAACAACCCAGTATGATGTGCAACCCTGCACAGGTTTGTGCAGTCCTTTTTCCTGCTACCTCCCTGTGAGCACAAGTCACACTATTGCTGCACTGAACAGATGAGGAAACTGAGGTTCAAAGAGATCAGTTCAGCTGTCCAGATCTCCTAAGTCTCCTGATGCCAGCCTACTTCTTTCCCTCCCACCTCACGTTCATTTTGCCCTTTAAACTCACAGGTAACTTTTTTCTTTAAAGAACCACGTGTGCTACCCCGGTAAATGATGCTGTCTGCAAACCCGGTTTGTCGAGTTGCACTGGGATGTGGAGACCCAGATGCGTGTAGACTGGGGGACACCTTGCCCAGTCCCTCTCTCCATGCAGCTGTCAAGTGCTTCTGAAAAAACTGTCGATCAGAATAAGCTGCTTGAGTGCTCAGAATCCTCTCGTTCCGCTACATGTATTCGGCAGAATACTGTAAGGCCACACAGAAGTAGAGGTTTCTATAACGAGCCCCTCCCTAGGAGTCCACCGCTTGCTCCTACGACTGTCAACTCATGTATGGCCAGTCTCGTTTCATTCATACCCTCGCACTCTCAGACACTGGATCTTTTCCTATGGCTCTTTGCATAAAATTCTAAGTCCTTCCACTAGCTCACAAGGTCCTACCTGATCTGGCCCTGCCCACCCCAGTGTCCTGCTCTTAGATTCTTGCTAAACATGCTTAACCTGGGAGCCCTACAGCTGCTCCCTCCAATGCATTGAGTCTGTTCCAGCCTGAGGGCCTGGACGTCTTGTTTCTGCTTCTCTCCTCAGTGAGCTCACATACACACTTGGTCTCTAAATTCACGTCTGTCCTGAAAGGCAACCTCTGCAGAGAGGTGTCCCTTGACCACCAGTTATAAGGTAATTCTTGCTCCATCTCTTTCTCATCCCCTGGTTCTATTTTTATCCTTGATATTTTCTTTTTTAATTGTGTTTGCATCTGATGTCTCCTCTCCCCATAAACTCCCTGAAGGCAGAATCCTTGCTGTCAGGGGTACTGCCTTATCCCCCAAACACACACACACGGACACTGCTTGTTTTGATGAGTGAATGCATCTTGGATTGGCTCCAGTTCCTCCAGGAGCATCATGTTCAAGGCCTTGGACGTACCCCATTTCCCCGATAGCATCAGCTTTCCAGCAACCAAAATTAGAAAATTCAGGGTCACTTTAGTTTCTGTTTATTCCTTCATATTTGCATTCAACCCATGGGGATTCTGCCTTTATTTTCCAAGTCCACTGCTGTCTGATCTAACTCGGGTCTTCACTGTTCTTTTCCTGAACTGTGGCAGCATCTTCCCTCTGCCCTTGCCCCCGCCTTTCCTCCTCCTCAAGCCACACTTCAGGTGTGTCGTCCCCAAGAGAAAATACATTCAAATTCATCAGTGGGGAAGACTTGAGTACAAACAAGTGAAATAGTCTACATGATTATCTAATACCTTATGTTCTCTTTGCTTCAAGTTACAGATGTGCTTAACTAAGTTTATTAATTTTATAAACTTGAAAATAATAAAAATTTTATTTTATTAAATTTATAAGCTCAAAAATAATAAAGGATTATCTAGAATTTTGAAGACATTAGGCTACATAAAATAAGTCAGTTCCCAAAGGACATATCCTGTATGATTTCACTTAAACAGGAGGTGTACAGAGTTGTCAGATTCATAGTCAGAACCTAGAACAGTGGCTGCCAGGGGCTGAGGGGAGGGGAGAACATGGAGTTACTGTTTAATGGACGTGGAGTTTCAGTTTTGCAAGATGAAGAGTTCTGTAGTTAGATGGTTGCAATGGTGAGGCAGCCATGTGAATAAACCTAATGCCACTGAACTGTCTCCTTAAAATGGTTAAGATGGAAAAAGTTTATGTTCTGTATATTTTACCACAGTTTTTTTTAAAAAAAAGAATAGTTAAGGATTGGCTAGATTTTATCCAAAAACCTGGAAATCTTCTGTTTTAGACTGATGACTTGAAGTGGCATCTGTTCCATGGTTCACACTGTCTTATGTACAGCATGTCCTTTGAACCTAAAGGCAACTCTGTGAAGTTGGAAGCATAGTTATGGTCATTGTCCCCAACTTTAACTTTGGGGAACTTCAGACTCAGCTGGATTAACTGACCTGTCCTTGGTCTCATACCTCATAACCAATGCTGGAACTTAAATGAATGAAGTTTAATGTTTCCCTAGGTACAGCTTTCAACTTTTATGTTAGCACATAGCATTGGAAAATTTAGAGTGGTACTGGGCTGCCAGCCTGAGAAGGAACTTGCCCCTTTTACTCTCTGGGAGGAGTGAGGCAGCCTCTGGAAGGTCTGACGTCCCTGAACACGTGTGATGGCTTAGCATCATTTGATTTCACCCAGCTACAATGTGCAAGTTACCCGTCCCAGCATGGAGATGATGTGCTTAAGATTTGGAGGCTATTTCAATTGAGGATATTCTATGACTTAAGGCTTTTGTGAGGTTAACCATGAAGACTAAGAAGAGCTTATACTGTGTGACTCGCCATCTTTGTTCGTAAAACCTCAGTGAAATGAAAAGTGTTTCTCTCTGAGATCCACTGAACTTGTGGTTTCTCCCTCACCTGGGGGAGAAAGAACGCTTTCAAATGGCATCTCCCTATTGCGGCTGGCACATGGAAGCCGGGAATAACGGCAGGAGTGTGTGGGCATATGGATCGAAACAAGACTGGCCATGAGCAATAATTAGTGAAGCTGGTTGATGGGTGAGTTGGGATTCACCATATCTATTCTCTCCATATAAACTTTAAAATAGCAATTCTCTAATGGGTTTCTACTTTCTGGAAGTCAAAATGTAGGAAATACAATGTACTAAATCTTTTCTTTGAAAGCCACAGTACATATCAGAATATTTAAGAATGCAAGGTATGCTGCATTTAAGAGACCTTTGAACACAGTTTAAACCAGGTTTAATTCCCCAAATGGACTTGCTGTTGGAACCCATTTCACCAAGCAACAGCTATTAAAAACACTTCAAACTAGCATGCTATGGGAAACACCTTGGGAAAACTTTTTATGAAAGACCATCTGGTGACTCTGTGTATAAGACAGAATAAGAACCAAGAAAGGACAATTTTCTGCTTTCTGCCAAGATCAGCTTTTCGGAATGGGGGGAGATTTAATTTCTTTTGGATCACAGAAGAAAAGCAAGAGAACCACGTGCTGACTAGGAGTTAAGCCTACACTCCAAATCCTCAAGGGGAGCTCTTGGCCCCACCCACTGGGCTTTACCGGTACAACAGTAATTAGGGGCGTGGCCTCCGGCATCACACGGCCTGGGTTTAAATCTTGCAGTGTGACCTACCACCGGCAAGTTGCTTAACCTCTTTGGGCCTCATTTTTTTTTTCACCTATAAAATAAGGATAATGAAGTTTTTACAAAAACCTAATAGAGTGGTTGCCGAATTTAGCAAACAAAAAGACAGGATGTTCAACTATTGTGTAGAACACACTCACACTAAAAATTATTTGCTGTATCTGAGATTCAAATTCGACTGGGAATTCTGTGTTTTTAGGGTTGTTGGGAGGGTTACGTGACATAATCTACATTAAATTCTCAAAACAGTGCCTGGCACTTAGTAAGCACTCAGACATGTGTCTTATGTTGCCCTTCATCTACTATTAATGGAAGGAGGCTGTGGTAGGAAAAACTGCTAACATTGGCCACGTGTGATAATTGTTAATTTTTTAGCTCCAAGTGAACTACCTTTGTAAGGTTTTTCTTAGAGAACTTGGACTCATAAACAGCTGTTAACCAAGAGTGGAGGGGAAGAAAGGAAACCCACAAGAGTTTGGCAGTCAAGGAATGTTAGCCTGGGCTGGAGTAAAACGTGGGGGAGAGACTCAAATCCATGCTACTGACTGAGCGGTTACTGTAATGGCTGGAGGAGGGTTCCCACTCACCCGGCTTGTCTCGGGATTGCAGTGTTGGCAGGACTGCAGTTCTGTGCAGTCCCCACACTTGCTAACTGCCTATGGTGGCAGGGAGCCCATGTCTAGCTTACCAAGGAACTAAAAGTCCAACTTGCCTGGATTTCCCTGTTTGACTGGGAGTCTAACTTCCCATGGAAGGTACACAATATTATACAGCTTTTTCAGCACAGAAGCCCGACAGCTTGTGAATCACTTGTGAATAGATCGGGGATACATTTCTCTGGTTGTCTCTCAATGTTGACTTGTGACCTAGTAACGATTTACTGGGCTAAGAATCATGATTTGCATAAACACATGATTATGAAACTTTTTTGTGGAAGAAAAAGAAGTTCTGACTAAGCTGACAAAATAGGAAGTTCACACTTAATTCTTAAGTAAATTCGAAAAATAGGAGGTAGAGAAAGATGGAGAGAGCCTGTGAAAGACAAGAAAAGGGTCAAGAGCAGAGAGAGACAGTAAGTGAAGCAGATTAAACAGAAACAGAGATAACGTACGGAGAAAATCAAAGACACAAACAGAAACCAAGAGATGTGTAAAGCTGTAAATCCCCTTTACTTTGCAAACTCTCTATTTTTAAAACAATGCCAACAGTATAAGTTCTTCCCCTGACATCATGCATGAGGCAGCCCCCCACAGGTCACACATGTGGGAGAGTAAAAAAGATGACTTTTAATGGTCAACCAAATCTATGTATCAGGAAGTCATCTCAGAACTCTTGAATTTAGTTTCATTCAAGAAACTAAAGGCTTCAAACCCCGTTTACAAATACCCTTTTCAATTTCCTGATAAACAGAAGGGCTACATAATTCTGAAATGACTGGGTTTTTTTGTTGGCAAATTAATCATCATTAAACTGCATGAAGCTAGTTTAGCTCGTAGTTCTACGTGGCGCCGGCTGAGGCTTCCTTCTCCTGGATCGAGTAGCTGCCCAAAGGAATGAATCTGCATTTGAGGCAGTTGTGAAGATAGGGGATAAATAAGCAACATTGGCAAAGGCAAAAATAACCAAACCAAACACCTTTGTGTCAGGACACGTTAAAGCTTCACCACGAGGAACTGGTGAAACTTGATTACCCACTCTCTGATCTTCCCGAGACAACACAAGGGTAAAACGAAACCAGGTACTTGGTGTTCAGACCCCGATGGTCACAGTTTGAAGAGAAAAAGCAATGAGAGAATTCCACTCACCAGTGTCGCAAACTTCAGCTCCTTAGCGACCACCCCTGGGTCCAGGCAGACGGAGAGCAGAAGCAGGAGGCCAAGGTGAAGGCTTGCCGCCCTGGCCACCAGGAGCGGGGCGACTCTCATGCCGGGCAGCGCAGTTTCTAGCAGGATGTGGAAGGTGCTGCTGCTTCCCCTGCAAAAGCATTAGAGGGGAAGCTATCTAATTAAGGATTAAAAGAGAAGGAAGAGCTGGGAGGAGCCAGGCTCCTGAATCGTAAACTCTCCAGGTAGTGTAGGGCGGGGTTTGGTGCATCAGATAATTTGGGGGCTGGGTGGTAGAGATCACAGGCTTCTGGATTGACCGGTAAATTAGCACACTGAGACCCAGAGAGGGGAAAGCTGTGGTTTAAGGCCACAGGGCGTATTAGCAGACGTTTCTTTCTGAGTTTACTTTTTAGCTTTACTTTAGATGGGGTGTGACGCGGCATTTGCTTTGTAGCTGTCGCTAGGGAAGGGGATTTACCCCGACCTTGGAAACCTTAGGGCAGTCACGATCGCTTTTTGGGGAATCCGGAATGACAAGAAGTGATCTGTGGGAGAAACTGCAGGGACTAGCAGGTTTGGGGTCTAGCAGGCTAAACATGGCTCCGTTTTCTAAAACTCCCATGCAGCCTATAGAGGTATTTTTAAATGGAAGCAAAGTAAGGACAATTTTATCTTGAAAAGTTTTAGTCACATGATGTGATATTTGGGGCTCATCTGTGCTATCTCAGAATTACAGTTAAAAATACCTTTCCTAACCTAACACAGTTCAGAAACAACAACAAACTCACCAACCGTGGCCACAACCCTTAGGTTCTGGGTGAGTCACACTCTTGCCTCTCCAGCTGTGATCTCATCAGGGACAATATGAAAGAGGGTGACATTTAGCTTTCTGTTTTTCTCATCCTGTCTGCCCCAGTCACAGGCTGAAACAGGGTTTTCCTGCAGAGAGCTCCCGTCCGGATGCTTCCACCTCGTCGGCAGAAGGAGAATGACGCTTTCCCCCACGATTTGTCCTCTGGAGCACGGCAGCCACCTGTGACAGGAGGGTGCTCTTATATGATCACAAGGTGCCCTAGAATGTGGTGTGTGGGAGAGCCGTTGCTTCTTCCTGTGGGGCAAACAGTGTGTGAAGCGCGAGTGCATGTGTGGTTAGGGTTAGACTTTGAAGGGGACTCATGAGCCTCTCTTTGCCATCACATTCTCCACCTGCCGGTCCCCATTGTCATCTTTAGTGGGTGATATTTTGAAGAGATGGGTGCAGGGTTAAGGGACTATCCAGGCCAGGCCGATCCCTGCTGTGTGCACCAAGCTACCTGAGAAAGGAAGCTCCAGCACCTGTTTACCACTCACAGGCTTGGTTCTGGACCACGTGCCTTAAGTTGTGCCAGGTACCCGATTCTGTTCAATGTCTTATATTCTCAAGGACCAACCTGGCTCCTTGTTCTCTGATTTTCTTCCTTGTCTCACCCTTAAATTGATGTCTCGACGCTATTCTGACTGTAGCTGTAGTGCTTCTTGATACTCAGGTTCTCTCACCTACCTGTGCCATGTGGTAGGCTAGGCTGGGTGAGCCCTACTTCTGACCCAGACCCCATTTTCTCTGTGTCATCATCACCTCCTCTGGGCTCCTGTGAGCCCTTCAAGTAAAAACAACAATGACCATGGCAACAATTTCTTATAGAGAGAGTCCCCTGCAAAATAATAACAAACAACAACAACAAAACCCTGCTTGAATTGTGTACATCTCAATTCAAACTTAGTTCAAGTTGGAATAAGTGGGTGGTTTATGCTTCTCAGTCACTCTCCAAACTCCTATTTTGACCATCAGATTACATGGGGGGGAGAAGTTGATAAGTGTAGGTCTGCCCACCATGAAGTAGGGTTTGAAGACCCTTAACTCAGATAAAACCTGTTTTAGAATCTGCTTTGGTCTCTTGAATCTTAAACTCATAAGGCCTTTGTAAAGACTTAAAGACTTTTCTGGAATAAATATATGGGTATGGTAGCATTGTAAGTGTGACTTGAAAAAATATAGAGATGTTGTCACAGACATTCCAATGAAGATTGTCAATCATTTTATTGTCAATGGTTAGCAGAACTTACTGGCTGAATCATCTTTGTTTCCTTGTGATATTTCTTTCATCATATGTCAAGTATTCAACCTGTAATTAGCACAGTGTTGGGAAGTCCATAAGTGAAGTAGGTTGTGTTCATCGGAAAGCAAATTCCTGGATGGAAATGGGCATTGAGGGAATTTGTTAGGGAGTGTTCTCAGAATCAGCAACAGTAAGGGGAAGATAAGTAAGCAGGACTGAGAAGGAGAAGTCTTCAGCTGATCTTCCTAGGAGTTCTACAGCTGGGATACCCTTTTGGGTTGTTGTGAATTGGGGTGAAGGGACAAAGCCTTTTACCCCTGCATTAGCCACTTATTGGATGCAGGCTGCTCCTGGCAGGGAATTTGACCACGGATAAGGCGGGTCCCTTCTGCCACAGCAGTTCTCAAAGGAGTTGACAGTCGAGTGATATCAGATGACAAATTCCCAAGAGCTGGAGGAAATTAATCCTTTACCCCATCAATGGAGGTCTGGGTGGTGCAACACAGAATCAGGGCAATGAATAAATATGAGTCAATTTGATATTTGGTAGACCTAGGGCTATAAAAGTATTAAGTGTGCCTTTGATAGCAAGAGACCGGGTTGGAATTGAAATCCACTCATAGGTATATTGGTTGTTCACCAGGTAGAAAGCCTATATTTAAACTCTCTGACTTGCCACATCTTCATGATTGTATTATTTGGCTTTCAGTGCCATATGAACTTTGGACACTCAACAATATTGATTGAGCTCTGACTGGTGTGGCTCAATGGGTTGGGTGTTGTACCACAAACCAAAGGGTCACCGATTCTATTCCCGGTCAGGGCACAGGCCTGGATTACGGGCTAGTTTGTGGTTCTGGGTGTTCGAGAAGCAGCCAATTAATGTTTCTTTCATGCATCCACATTTCTCTCCCTCTCTTTCTCTCATCCTTCTATTTTCTCTAAAAAACAATAAATTAAAAATTAATATTGATTGATTAGTCAATGTAAAGACAAATTATTGCATTAGAGCCTTATTACAATGTTCTGCTTTGAGGCAAATCTAAGATGTGTTGAATAAAAGTTCTCCTTCCCTCAACCAGTCATTTTGTGCGCATGTTGTGTGTGTGTGATATTTAGGCAAACATCCTCCTATTGCACCAGTAACTATGTCTTCGGAATATTATCAAAGAAGGCTTAACTGAGGTCAGCTTTCCTGTTCCTCTCTAACTATAACACATGTAAGAATCACCTGGAAAGCCTAATAATATACAGATTCCTGGGCCTCACTTCAGGAGGTCCTACTTCGGGAGGTTCAGCTACTATCAGTAACAGTACGATGCCCAGTCTTGTGTGAGCGTGAAATGAAGGGAAAACTCAGTAATGCTGATCCTGCCTTCATTTAAAGTTTTGATAGTTTAAAAATGATAGCTTGTTTACATTAATTTTTAAAAATATCATGTAAAATATTATTTATCTTGATTAAGGTTTTTTGGCCCCCCTTTCAAGGATGTGCCCAGGGCGAGTGCCTCACTCCCCCCACCCTCGTTCCCAGACATGACTCTAAGAATCGGAAGATGAGAAAGAAGAAGATTTCCTTTTCTATTTTGGGATTGAATTATCCAACTTTGTTCTGTCCACAAGGACATGAATGCTTGCGATGAGATGAGGCCCCTATACTGAGGCATGGAGCACCGAAAGGAGCCCAGTATTTTGTCTGTCAGCCTGAACAAAGCTGACCCCCAGCTGCTCCTCGGGCTGTAATTATTTGCACAGGGCTGGCCTCCCTCATAAAGGCTCCCCTGCAATAAGGATGCTTTTCTCACATCCAGATCTAACACTTGCAATAACAGAGATGACAGTGACTCCTAGCTCTGGAGGACAGAATAGGGTCAAGTCTTTCTGAAACTGTTACCCAGGACTGAGGCTTCATTGTTCAGGTGCTGGCAGGAAAGAAGGGGCACATGTGTTTTGTTACAGTCCACTTCACATGTCATTCCAGGGTTCTGATGGTGGAATAACTGGGAAATACTGTCCTATTGCTTTCACCTTTCCTGTAGCCTTGCAGGTAGAGCAGCACTTTGAGTCTATTGAATTTCCAGGGTTAAGGACAGAACTCACAACTTACAACAATATTATCTATCTCATTCAGTTAAAGTATATTCAAGCAAAGACCGGTGGACAGGCACATTTTTGATGGTGTTATTTTTGGGTGATGTGATTATAAGTGGTTTCAGTTTCTTCTTTCTGCTTTTCTCCACTTTCCAAATTTCTTGCATTGAACAAATATTTTTATTAAAATCATCAAAGAAATTAAAAAATGCGTAACATGAACTACATGTTATTTCTCACTTGATTCTTAGGTATCCTCACAGTTGAAGAAGGTGGGCCCGAAAGGTAATTCAGTTTATAGCAGAGTTCGCCTGCTTATTTCTATCACATAGCCAATTCCTAAGCTATTAAAGAGAAAATTTTCTTTCTCCTGCCCCTGTTTGCCTCCTTCTCCTTTGATATATCCTGTCTTAAAGAGATTCTACAATTTCTTGTAGCATCATGAAAATCTAAGAGTAACATAATGTCCATTTACGAAGTCTTCAGTTTGTCCTTGAGAATTTTCTGAATCAAATTCCGTCAGTGGCCTATTAGAGATCTTCCACTGGGTTCCCATCATACTTAAAATCCAAAACCCCTCCATGGCCTACGGGACCCCATTTGATCTGGCCTCTTGCACCTCTTCAACTCATCTCTTACTCTTCTCCCCTTGCTCACTCTGTTCTAGCCACCCTGACTTCGTTGTTTCTGAAGCCACACAAACTTCCACTTCACTCCTGGTGCATTTTACAGCTCCCTCTCTGAGCTCCCTCCCTTCAGGGGGACTGATTCTTTCACTCCATTTCTTCATGTAGACCTTCCTTGACCGCCCAGGGAAGCTAGCAATTCCCTCGCAGTCATACAGCCTGTTTTACTTCTGTTAGAGCACTTTTCATGCCAGACATTATGTTGTACACTTTTTATGTCTCATCTGTCTCTTCTGTTAGAATGTAAATTCCATGAGAGCAGAGGAGTTTATAGCTCTGACCTCATTGGATAGAGCAAAGCCTGGCACATAGTAGGAGCTCAATAAATATTTGTTGAATGAATGAACAAATTCTTACTAATCAACTCCTTTATCTAAAAGAAACCTTCCAACACATTTTGAGACTTTCTT